AATATAAATAGATGCATAGCTACTGGCTACCTAGCCACATACCGTATTCTTGTATAGGTGCAGTCACACCATGCAAATCTCTTGTGACACACACTCCTGTTACCAGGGTACGTGTAACCCCGTTACAATGGAACACATTTTGATGGGAAGGATGTGAGGATGATGTACTTACTGAAATGTGGTGTACGCACAAATTACACAATTTCTAAAATTAAAATTATTGTCAACGGGGCTCGGGTACAGGATTGATAGGATTTCGTAAAGATTGAAGAGGCATGTGGGTCGCTAGCCTCACGTTATGAAGTTCATAGAGTTATGATATCGTCTTGTTGATATTGATGTTACCCGAGTGGAGCCCACCCCACACCCACTTCGAGTCTTCTCTTGAACATTACCCGGGGTCCCATTATTGTGCTTCACCACATAGACAGCAACACACTTATTTTGAAGAACTTCTGGAGCCCGCGATATATGTGTACGACCCGTTTTTCTGAAAAAGTTATAGTGGTTTTTGTGATCATCAACCGCTGACGAGACCAAGCCGATAAAGACACAATAATTGATGATTTTTCTTCATCATCGGCAATCCACGCGGTGCGCTGAATACGATTGGAATTGTAGCCAACATGTGATGACTTATACCAAAGACTGTTCGCCCGTCACATTCTTAATTCATGCCCCGAGAAAACAATGTCCACAACCCATCATGGACTCAAACACGCGGTCATTAGTATGTGTCAAAGGAAACGTATGGCGGAATCGCTAAGAAATTTTTTTCTTTAGTTTTTGACATGGTCGCATCAATATTGCTCAATGACACCAAATTTTCGGAATCTTTGATATTCGCTGGAAGCTTTATTCCCTAGCGGATTTCTGATAAGTAGAAGACACTTGCCACTCTCAAAGCTACAAATAAACATGTATGAACCAAGTCATTCGAGCGGCTCTGCGTACTAATCTATCCCCTGAGCGTTCGTTAATACGGAGCGATAGAGTCAAAGCTTTTTCTGTGCAAGGTGAACGACACTCCCAACGCAGTGATACAATGACGACGGCACAAACTTCATCGGCTACGATGAAAGATATGTTTGTAGCACTTGAGAAGGTACAACGTATTTTTTTCTTAACATTTATTGCAAAAGCCAATAGAAGAAGACTCAGCACCTTGTCAGCCAAATTCTTTATTTAATAGAATTTGTAATCTTCACTTTTACTACAGCAGTTGCGACGATTACTGGTGTCCCAGTTACACAACCAAGTAAATTGTACCCAAGAAAAGGTTAATTTTTTTCGCGATAGCGTTAAAGCTTTTCAAGATCTTTCAGGGCAATCTTGATGACAATTTTATGGTTGTATTTACTTTCCGAATCAGGTGGTTCCAATTATGACTTGGACGACGCAAAAGTCGGTTCCCTAAAACCTTAAATGCTCGACCGTATGATAAATGCAGCATGGAATTGTTACGCTTCAAGTATGCGCAATTTGAATAATCAATACAGCATTTGACTTCCATTATAGTAACATCTGTACTTATGCAAGCCTCTGCAAACTGAACCCTTAGCGACTTCATGACTCAGTGTTGCCAATCCTACAATCTAATTGTAGACCATGTATTTGGGCGTCGACGAGAACTTTTTGTATCCCTTAATGACCTTGTTGACGGAATCGAGGAAATCCTTCTCACTCACAGATTTGCGGCGAGCTCGAATCGCGAACATGCCAGCTTCCGTGCAGACACTTCGCAATTCTGCTCCGGTTGTATTGGGGCAAAGACGACTCACAAGCTCAAAACGAATGCCACGGTCGCAATTCATGCTCTTGGCATGTATTTTTAAGATCTGCGTACGCCCTTCTAACTCCGGCAAATTGAACTCGACTTTACGGTCCAAACGACCAGGCCGCATGAGCGCTGGGTCAAGGGTATCAGGTCGATTCGTGGCCATCAATACCTTAATGTTACCACGAGGATCGAAGCCATCGAGCTCGGTCACAATCTGCAGCATCGTACGCTGCACTTCGTTGTCCGTACCTCCCTCCTCAGAACTGCTACGTGCTCCACCGATGGCATCCACTTCATCAAAAAATACTATACAAGCCTTTTTGGATCGAGCCATTGTAAAGAGCTCACGAACCATACGTGCACCTTCCCCGACATATTTCTGTACGAGCTCACTGCCGATGACACGGATAAAACATGCATCAGTACGATTTGCCACAGCCCGAGCTGACAGAGTCTTGCCCGTGCCAGGGGGGCCGTAGAGGAGCACACCCTTCGGCGGATCGATACCCAAGTTAACGAATCTCTCAGGATGAAGCAGTGGAAGCTCGACGACTTCTCGAAGTTTCTCCAGAGCGTCCTTGGCACCTCCGACATCATCATACGTAACGTCGGGTTTGTCCTCGACCGTCATAAGCGACACCGTAGGGTCAATCTTTGGCGGTAAGGGAATTTGAATTGCGTACTTCGTACGGTCCACACCCACGCGCATGCCCTCTTCAATATCAGTCGGTGCAACTTTTTCGCCCAGACCTACGACGAACTTGGCAATTTGCTTCACGTTGATCATATACTTTGCGTCCTCTTCCCCGGCGTTGATGATTTTGGTGCAACGGGCCACTTGCAACGGCTGCTCCTCCTGCATCATCTGTTTGTCGCTTACAAGATCCCATTGGCTTGGCAGACTCAGCCCCGTATCGCTTTCCTTGATGCCGATAAGATCATTCACAGCTTTCTGCGCTTTCTTTATGTCATCTTCCACCTGCTTAATTACGCGCGAGTATGGACCCAACCCGTAAGTTTTGAGAAGAGCAATATCGCCCTCGTCTAGAACCGTCTCCGGACCGGCTAGAAGATCATCTTCCTCGTTGTCATACTCCTTTGTGTTAGTCGTTTGGCACTCTCCTGCCGCCATTTTTATTTTGGAAATAAAGATTCCTCTCCTAGAGAAAGAGCAACCTCTGGACTTTTGACAAATAAGGAGGAAAGGAGATACATACAAGTCCGACTATTTAGAGTCTTAATTAGACTACCAAATCCTGCTTTATTTATAAATCAAAGCGAATTAGATAATTTCTATCAGTATAATAAAGCGAGTATTAATATGATCAGATTTGTTCTGTTTACAGCAGCACAGCAGAATTTGCATCGAGGTGATCGATGTCGTTGTTTTCAAGAAAGAAATAAATTGGGAACTACAGCATACATCTACTTTGACTCTAGATTTGACAGCACACAGTAGAGGCATAATTTGGGAACTATAGCATACATCTACTTTGACTCCAGATTTGACAGCACAAAGTGAAGGCATATTACTAAATAAATAAGGGTTACGCAGGTCCAGAGCTTTGTTTTGGATGCTTACGAGTCGCTACTGGTCGGACGATACAATGCAGTTTGACCAATGCTTATCGTTAATCCGCAATCTGTACCAACGTTGAAATTAAACGCTAAGAAGCCGCCAAAAAATTTGTTCAGCTTGAAGCTGACTGCCAAATTTTGAGCAATTTTTGGGAATTTCTGATGGCGACATCGTTCGTAGAGCGCTTTCAAATCCATCATTGCGCAAGTGTCCTGCTGGTTCTGACAAAAAGTACCCAGCGCTCGTCAATTCGTGAAGGTGTGTTTTTCAATCTTGGAGCCTAAATTGCGATGTAGTCGCGATCAGAGTTTGTAGGAACACTGCAAGTCGGTTTACCTCATGTGCTTTCGGTAGCGATTCCAAAAAATGCTTCTTTTCTCTGAATGAGATCTATGCATCAGTGGCTCATTTAGTCTTCGAGTGGTCTGCAGCCTAGAAAAGGTGGAGGAAGCGGTGATATGCCCTGCGAAAGGCCAGGCATTGACGAAGAATCCTGATTGTCATCATTGTTCACCCTTTGCTCGTTTTTTTTGCTTTTCATTCTGCACAATGGAAAAAGTAAAATCTTTGCCTTCAGGAATGAGCAATATCTAGAGTTGGGATTCCTTCATTTTGGCTTAATTCTCATTGCAAACTATGCCACTACTTTTTCCGTCATATTTTCGTGTGGTAGACGTAAGTTGCTTTTTTGCATTTCAAATGTACGCCAAAAAGACAGTGTAATTGACTTTAAAGGCTCTCGATTCCTCTCTTTATAGAACACACGTACCCAAATTTTGCGCGTCTGATAGCGCGGACACTTAAAGTGAAAGCTTCTCAAAGCCAAACCGCTGCTTTTGTAGTCAATACCACTCCCGCGTCTGCGACCTCGTCTGCGAGAATGAAGCAGACAAATAGACCACGTCAACAAGATCTTGGGGTCCAATGGGAAAATGGCGACCAAAGAGCCGGATGCGGTAATCCTCTCCTGGAGGCACTCGCCTCCTTTGAGATGCGGTGGAGAGGCACCTAGACGGGCCTAGGTGGGAGCACAGATGATTTCCCTCGAAAACCCACCGATACTCAGCGTTCAGGCCTTGAAGGTCCGGCACGTAGAAGATCCAGTGTGTACCATGGCTGGTGGGTCTGAGGGCGACTATAAGCTGCACGTCGAAGAGCTAGGCCCTGAATATAAGTAATAGCTTCTCTTTGACACGATGTTATAATTCTGCAGAGTCAGCACTGTTGTGTGGTGGGTCCGTCGCGTTAGTAGCAAAGTTCCACAGGTAAGAGGTGGAAAAAATGAATAACCTTTCCGTCTAGTGACCCGGGTAGCTCTAGAGATTATAAGCTTCCATCAATTGATCCGCAGAATCTCTTATGTAGCTGAAAGGAATGCTGCTAGATGACATGTGCAAGAAATCGCAAGATGATGAGTTCACCGTACTGATACGGAGTACCGATAAAGAAGCTGAGCATGTCATTCTTAATTGAAAAAAAACTGTCATTGACGATATTTGCAGAGCACCGATTGCGACTAGTGGGATAGCTGTCTCAAGAATCACGGATCTATTCTATTTTTTGTCGGAGAAAATTTACGGCGTGGTGACGGAAGATCCATTACATGCTACTCCGTGGTAGGGGAGTGCGTCATAAACCAATGGCTATAATCATGTTACAAGTGTGACGTAATTGAGAGCACGGAAAACGGAGGTGCAAAGTCACACTGAACATGGGGACTGTGCTCAAACGTATGCTCATAGATAAATTGTCAGCACACTAAGCTGTATCTTTAATGGCGATGAAATCCTTTTCAGGCTTCTTCATTGGAGAGCATGACCGGCATCCAGATCCCGCGAAGATAAATACCATTGTACACTGATCAGTGTCTCTGTTCATTAAGACTTTCGGAAGTGGTTTGTGACAATTCAGTCTTTGCAATTGGCTTCACTTTACTCCAGGCAAATACAAATGAGCTTGACTGCGTGATCGCGTTCACGTCATGACAGCTGAGTGCTGCAGCGGTAAATTACCTTGCCCATTACAATGAGATATTAACAGTGATATATGCCCTCGTCATTTTCAGGGTACATTTTCTTGGCTCCAAGTTGCTCCTAATATATATGGATCATGCGTCGTTTCGCAGAGCGACGTTGTCACGACACATCTCATAGTAAATAGCAAGGGAGTTATCCTTACATCCTGAAGGTACGTTACGGCATGATGTGGTGGCGGCTGCGCTTTCGCGTTGCCTCGACAATGTGTTGTCGCATGTCATGATGGTAATATTGCTGGTTGACAAGGCGGTATGCATTCCGCACGGTCAAACGTAACATGTGCTGCACTGCTGGAAGATTTGGATGGTGAAGGGTTTGGGAACTCAGATGTTGCTTGATCGAGACGCATGGCTTTACGCCTGTGTTGTCATGCCTTATCCAAGAGAAGTTGGTGTGTAGTAGTGCATCCTGATGAAGACGAAAAGCACAAAATACTGTAAGAAGCACGTGGTTACCTTTGGGGCCACCTATGAAGAGAATAGTTATACAGCTCGGTGAGCACTATGTATAGATAACATGATAAAGTGGGTAAGAAGAATTGTGCATACGAGCAATCATGTCAACGGGACATCCTCATAGCATGCGGCAGCACTTTTGGCCAGCTTGCTGGTTCCAGCAGGGTGCTGGCAGTCCATCAATATGATCTATGTTTCGATCTTTTAAAAACCGAGTATGGTATTAACAGTAATGTTGGCCCCTCTTAGCAAAAAGGATAATCTCGCTGCTGTCAGCGAAAACATTTTCTGGGAGGATTCTGCCAAGCTGTTCCTCGACAAAGTTTTTCGCCAGCACGGAGTGTCCGTAGCCATTGTATTTGATGCTTTTGTGCGGGGGTGGGGTCAAGAGAAACTGACTTTGAAACAGATAAGGACCTGATGCCACCGGATGTACGCAATTCAATGAAACAAGTCGCCGCCTTCGTAATAATATCAGCAAGTCAACGATTTGTGGGATGTATTTGAGTTTGGTTATAAACAGTCAAGTCCAACGGTGATCTATAGGGGCAATCAGGGAGCCATTGCCCTGACTCATAACGCTGGTCACAATGCATGTTCAAAACATTGCTATTTGCCTCCAATTTGTTAGTGAGCACGTCTTATATGGCGACTTGTAATTATATCAACATTCGAGCACATAGCCTTATCGCTGAGCATATACTTCAAGGTATGTAATTTACTTCAGCTGAGCTTAAAGCAACCGTTCTGATGTTTGCTTTGAGAACAACCGGTCCACCGTTAAGCATCACCAAGCCACCTGATGGACGATCATCTAGATCGCTTCCGAGTCCACACCACAGAATGCAACTAGGGGTTTCGAAACATGCCTACAGAAAGCTAAAATAATAGAACTATATGTATACAAATACTAGAGTACACGAATTGCAGCCTGCCAATGTGCCTGACCTGCGCAATATAAGTGATGACTGAGATCAGATACAGTATACTATATATCTGGTCTGGTGGTACCCATGGCAAGGTATAGTGGACAACCCATCAGTGAACGGAACGGTCGCTTATCCATTGCTGATCTGTCATCCATAGTCTTTCTGAGGTCAGCTCGACTCAACTTTATTCCGCTATCTCATGAGTTGATCATGCAGTTATTTGACTGAGATACTTCTAGATGAGACTTTCAGATCTGGTCAGCTTATAGCAAAGATTATTTCCATTCCAAAAATCAATTTGGCCGACCCAAATCCTTGATTCAAAATTGTTCAGAAATTGTAGATTTAATTTTATACGTTTTCAATGATTAGGACGCGGTAAGCATATCATCAAAGTATAGGCAGATGGAAATCATAAACTCAGCTCGCCCGATTTTGGATGTGGATGCACTAATCGATCGATGAAGGATTGATCCCAGTTTTCGTACGGACGTCGTTAAAAGGTCTAGTGTCAAAGAAGTCCACACCCAATGGTTGGGTAAAGCCTTGTGCACGAGTCTCGCCTTGCATCAAATGATCTCACCATGTTCGTTCTTTTTTATAGCAAAACCCACCCAGCAAATTTTATTCCAGATTTAGATTTTACAACATCTCACGAACTAATGAGTCGATCTATCTGTCCTGCATAACTTCCAATCACTGATTTTGCATTCTTCTTTAGTTGCATCGCCAAATGATGCGGCACATCAGCCATGAACGCTAACATACACTTATCATCGTTATTTCGCGAGCGCCCCGATGGTCGCACAACCATATGGTCAGAGATCGTGCAGATTGTCCCCCCACAACGATCATGCATCTTTCTGAAATTAAATGGACTTGATTTAGAGGCCCTGTTGAGTGCGAGACACATCGTGCAGCACGTGACTATGAGGAAAATTGGTTAGCGGCGACGTATTGGAGAATTAACTACAATTTTATCACTCCCACTGAGTAAGAGATTTTCACGCTTGATTTCAGTATGTGTGGACTTACCTGCTGAATGATTAAAGCAGGTATGTATCAACTGCGATAGGAACCATTTGTCGTGATCAACTCAGCCGTCATCCATGATCACATCATCGCTTTGTGTTCGCTTTGAGACACAATGTATTACATTTATCATCTTAGATTGAAATCTGAAGATACTCGTGCGACTCATCACCGTTTACCATATGTAAGATACTGTATACTGCACGTTTATCTAAAGCATTGAACGACTTGACATACGTTTCCCGTATCAATATTTAGCACTCAGTAAGTCTTGCTGTGGTCTATGTATTCTAGTAGTATGCATCATCTTGGTGTCGCGTCAATTTTGCTCGTTGATACTTGTCAATATGTTCGGACCCTTGATACTCAAGAACACGAATATGATCAAGGTCTGGGCGAGAACCAAAACCTATGTCGTATGGTGTAGCATTAGTTCACTTTGTTGGTCATCCGATTTAACAGGTACACAGCAGTACTGAATGCACGTGCTCACCATCAAGATTCAATAGCCTTGTAACGTCATCATTTTCTTGCCATTTCGGTGCGTTCTGCAAGCCCATTTTATCGAGATGTATCGTGCAGAGCGGTGGTAGCTGATCCCACTATAAATATAAATTCTACTAAAGTTCTCATTGACAAAATCAGTCCCATTGTCTGACAGAACAGTTATGATTCGAGCACCTGGTTGTTTTTACAATCTCGCTTTGTACTCATGAAAGCGAGCAGGCCTCTCTATCTTTCTCTTCAAGTAGGCGCGTGTGTAGCGCGAGCTGTCGTCTGTGAAGAGTAGCGCGTTTTTTGCTCCACCAGTAAACGTCATTTTCGTGAGTCCCATTACATCTTAGTATACAAGTTTATACCACGGCTTGTTTGCATTAAGAGTGGTGTAACGGTATTATTTCCAAACATATATTCATCTTATATGACTTGATCATGCTATAGTCCTCCACGTTCACCATCACTCGCATCAGCTAAATGATTCATATTGTCATGGTCTTTGTATCCCAATCTTGCATGCCATTACTTCCCATCATCAGGTTTTTCTTGACAGTCAAACAAACTCACGGGATGTGCTTAATTATTTGCGCGACACACAGTGTTCATCTGCGGTACAGTCACTATCATTTTTTCTCCTCACGAGTTATTACACCTTTACATACCAAATTTCATCGTACTACTAGTCTGAGAAAGCTTGCAACCGAAAGTGGCGATACCTCAGAAATTTGGAGAGCGTCATCTGTCTTCACAATGCGACCACACTCTTTAATAGCGATTGTAATATCAATGCCCTCTTTCAATTTTTTGTCAGCTTGGAATTTCTTTTTCTCAAGACTCATATGCGACGGTACACCACAATCAAGTAAACAATTTGATTTCTCATGATAGAAACAGTCTTTCACATCTGCGTTCGCTAGATAAGCAGTCCGACTTCTTATGACCAACATTGTTGCAGCGACGGCGACAACCCATGAAACATCGAGCTTGTAGTTGTTGACCACGGTTAACTTGTCTGATGTCTTGTCGGATATGCTGATCTTAGCGATCACAACCAACTCGTTTGCTTTTCCGACCACCATAGCCTCGAAATCGCACCTTTCATGCGCTTTTCCAAATTCTATGCGTATCAATCTTCTCAGAAATCGTTTTCTATACCTCGCTAAGTAAATCCTTCGTTGAATTCTCAGTGATAGAAGCTGTTATCGCGTTGCTGCCTTACAACCTACCGAGCAAATTCACAAGCAGCCTTATATACTCATACCATCTCCAACTCCATCCATCGCAACAATCAACTCGTTGCGATTATCTAGGTGAGAAGCTATGCTTGCTCCTTCCTCCATAGTAAACTCACGCGAAAGTTTCACACGATTATGCATATTTGAACGATTGCAATATTCTTTAAGAATTTCCCATCAGAACGGGTAGAGCAGAATTTTGTTGGTATTTAACTGGATTCTTTGTGCGATAATACAAATGCCTTAATGTCATTTTTTGCACGCCACTACACATTTATCTCGGCTTTCGACTTGATTTCCATTTTACCAACAAAAATAGCGTTCTTTCTTCATATTGACTTAAATATTGTTTCTTGGGCTAATCACCTGACACTTTAGCGCAGGCGTGAAGTCAAAATATATTTTGAAGTGGCTAAATAAGTCCTGGTTCATCGCTATCATTGCAGCCATTCCAAAAATGGAACGCATATGCTCGCAGTTAATGCTGCACCATCGACGTCAAGCGCAACTGCTACCACAACCATTCTATTTGCCCTTCTATTGTCGAGCGTGTTATGTAAACGTCTCGGATAGAAGTGCGCTTTACAACAAAATTTAGCAAACATTATTGAAGGTGCTTGGCACCAAATTACTTTTGTCAATCGCTAACGACCCGCAAACAAACGGCCAGACGAATGCGAAAATCGATAATTGGAGGAAGCCTTCCAGAGCACTTTTACAAAGAGACCGCGGTGCTGAAGCGAATAGATTCCACTTATTGGGCTTGCGTAAAATAACGCAGCACAGGCCTCTATAGGCTTTACCCATTTTAAAGATTTGGTTCAATTAATCTCGGAGTGCATTTGACACCTCCATCGAGTGGCTTCGGTCTTAGCAGAGCGGTGCTGCTGATAAAACTTACCAATATCAGCCCGGCTACACTTTGCAGCAAAAGCAATAACGTCCCCTTGGTGACATTAAGCGTCATGCGCAGGGGGCGCAACGCTATGGATGAGAGCGAAAAAAAGCAAAACCACGCTGGTGCCAGAGGAACGCGGGTCGCATACGAACATTTCGAAGGGCGGAAGGTTCTATTGCATGCAGTAATCCTACCTGTACATGCGGATTCTGCGGTAAGTAACATGCATGTGCCGTGCTACATCGGATCATTCACGGTCGTAGCGAAAAACTAATCGAAAGATTCTCCTAATGTCCCGAAAGAACTTTACTACATCTGTGTTCTAATGTGGGCGGTTGAAGACATATCCTGAGCCGATTAAGTATTGCAGACGGAGCACCTTTCCTGTAGCCAAGCTACTCTCTGCTTTAAAACAGCAACGCAATTCTGAATTGCTCGGGGTGCCTCAAGCTAGGCAATTTGACAACGGAGCTCAGAGAGCAAGTCTGAAATCCGAATTATCTCAACCTTATAGAAACGCCGTGACTCTTGGAATGAGTTGACGTGCCACCACAAACCGAGAGATCGACCGGGAGGGTCGACCTATGCCGTCACTACTCGAGCAAGGGACACTTCACGTTCGCGCTAAACAATCGGTGGTTGGCGGATGCTGCCAGTATGTGATGTAGAGGAGAATTTACCCTCAATCTCAGAGTTTATGGGAGTTTGAGATTCCAATTTACTAGATAGTACTGACGTTGTGGCCGCTTACTACCTTGCGCGTCCTCGACCTTTTTTTTCTTTAGAAGAGAGGTAGTGTTGCCCGTCGCAGCGCGCCTTTCACTGACGAGCAGGCTTATCATAAGTAGGGGCAACGGATTTTTACCTCGATGTTCATGGCGTGCTGGAGACTGGTAAAATAAGCATAGACGACACTTGGTAGACCTTTGTCGCTGAAGCCGGCTTGTAAGGCCTTAGCAAGGGTGAGACGAAGCTTTTATCACCCAGTACGCGATCACTTTCGATGATTTCCAGTACCTAAAGCTCGTCGCTCACGAAGGGACCGGATTTTCTCACCTCTGTTCCTCCACACGCAGACGATACCTCTGGGGAGCGATGACCTGTGCACCGAGAAAGCGCTCGCGGAGCGACTTTGTTGTGCTCGTATAGCTCTGGAGTTGATCCAATGGCCCACACGCATTGGCGTGTAGCTGACTTCGGATGATGCAAACCCGTAATCATGACGTGACGCTTTCGTTCACAATGAAGATAGCTGGATACCGAAGCCAGATCTAGTCGTTTGGAACGAGTTGAACTTCGGTGCGGATTCCAAGGCGGCGCGTCAGTATACTTGCTGCACATGAAAAGGGCGCAGAGATCGAGACTCATGCAGCGGAGAGGCTAAGCACAGTGAGCACCTACTCATTGGGAAACAGCATGTCAGTGTATTGCCTGGCGATGACGAGGTTGGTCGGCCAAAACTCGAGGAATCACTATGACCGCTCTCACCAGACAACACCTCAGCATTCTCACCAATTTTCAAGCGTGTCGATTGCGAAGAGAGCACACTTGGTGGGGGCTCCTGGAGCCATTTATTTGGTGTACGGGAACGGACTCCCTTTGCGAATACGCCAAGTGGGGCAAGACCGGTAAAGTTTAGAAAGTGAAGCAGAACTCCTGATGTAGTGGCAGTTTGTATAGTGCTTCATTTTTGCGCAGTGGTCTAAAAAGAGAAAATTTATGTAAATTTCAGTGCGATCTAGCCCTCAAAAAGGGCAAGTACTGCAATCATGCGTACTTAGGCCTTACACGAGGGATTCGATGTACATGTGGACAGCAGGACAGAAAGTCAGATGAATTATAAGGGATATACATCAAGTATTCGTCTGAAATAATAATTGTAGATATATTTACTCTTAATAAGTAGAGCGGACTATCAGCGGCCTTTGGTTCCACTCCGATAGAAGCTCACGATATAGACGCGAACACTGAGAGCCAAAGTTTTTTTCTGTGAAAAGTGCACGGCACCCCCTCGCGCCCGCTCTAAGAGTATCATCACGTTGGACCCCAACTAAAATGATCCCAAGTAAAATGCTGCAAGCTTATCATGATACTTCACCATAGTCCTTCGCCTTCGCTTCGCTTAATGTCCTAACGATAAGATCATATGCATGCGATGACTAGAATCGTAAACGTTGAAATACCTTCATCAGAAAAATGACGACGTCAGAATAGTACAGTACGGTAAATGATAGGTTAGAGTCTATGTATAATTTTAATGTGTCAGAAAAATTACAGCGGGCGAAACGCTTGCGTGTAACCAATCAGCGTATTAGGCGATCTTTTGCGACCTCTTATCAAGCATGTGAGCATCCCAATTATTTGTTAATCGTAACTACTAGACAGGCATTGAGTATAAAGATTCTTTATACTCAATGCCTGTCTAGTATTATATCCCTTCCAACTGACTGATTTATTCGTCGCGCTCACATCTCAGCCAGACACTATAACTTTTTCACTTTACAATCCCCTCATTCGAAGCTCGTTCCTTGCAGTTATCTACCAGGTATGTCTCGCCATCATATTGATTAGCATCATTTTCTGCCACAGCGATACTCCTTGCCTCTAACAAACCAATGAAAGTTGCTATAGACATGAGCACCATTCTCAAATCCGTCCACCACACGGCTACGTTCGCACGCTCGAATGCTGCTTTTGCAGTTCGTGCATTCTCGTCGTCTTCAACTACGCTACTTGATGAGCTAAAAGAACAGATCCCTGTGCGTCAAGAAGCTTTGAAGAAGCTGAAGGCTGAGCACGGTCACAAGTCCCTTGGAGAGGTCACAGTTGAGCAGACATTGGGCGGTGCTCGCGGAATTAAGTCGCTTTTGTGGGAAACGTCGCTGCTGGATGCAGAGGAAGGCATTCGTTTTCGTGGCCATACTATCCCTGATCTTCAGAAGCGCTTGCCGTCGAAGGAGAATGGTGGGGAGCCTCTACCGGAAGGACTGCTATGGCTACTTTTGACTGGGGAGATTCCCACAGCCGATCAGGCCGCCAGCGTTACTGCTGAGCTACACTCGCGTGCTAAGGTACCCGAGCATGTGCGCAAGATCATTTATGACCTCAAACACGCCCACCCCATGACGCAGCTCTCGGCTGCTGTGACTGCCATGAACACTGAGAGCGTGTTTGCCAAGAAATACGCTGAAGGTATTCACAAGTCGACTTATTGGCAGTACACGTACGAAGACAGCATGAACCTTATTGCTTGTTTGCCTGAGGTTGCCGCTCTTATTTACCGCAACACATACTTTGGTGAATCTAATAATGCTTACGACTCCAGCCTGGATTACTCAGCCAACTTTAATCGCATGCTGGGCTTCGACAGTTCTGAGTTTGACGAGCTCATGCGTCTATACTTAGTGATCCACAGTGACCACGAGGGTGGTAACGCAAGTGCGCATGCCACACATCTCGTGGGCTCAACCCTTTCAGACCCGTACTTGTCTTTGGCTGGTGGCCTTAATGCTTTGGCGGGGCCATTACACGGCCTTGCCAATCAAGAAGTGCTGGGCTGGATTCTTGACCTGCAAGCTGAGTTCCGTGCCAAGGGTTTGGAGGTGAACAAGGAGACAATTACTCAATTTGCATGGGATACACTTAATGCAGGCAAGGTCATTCCTGGCTATGGCCACGCTGTGTTGCGTAAGACCGATCCCCGTTATACGTGCCAGCGCGAATTCGGCCTTAAGTACATGCCAAATGACGAACTGTTCCGTATTGTGGACACAATCTACCAGGTGATGCCTGGTGTGCTTACCGAGCACGGGAAGACCAAGAACCCGTATCCAAATGTAGACTCGCACAGTGGAGTGTTGCTTCAATACTACGGGTTGACGCAGAAGAACTACTACACAGTGCTCTTCGGTGTTTCTCGTGCTATTGGAGTCCTCTCGCAACTCTTCTGGGACCGTGCGTTAAGCTTGCCGCTTGAACGTCCAAAGTCTGTAACCAGCGAGTGGATTAACAACTACTTTGCCAACAAGAAGTAAACCAAACTTGCCGTGCTAGACAGTAAAGTTCGCGTTATTTGCGTACATGCATCGTGTCGCGAATTGACGCCAGTAAAAAGGTTTTCGTTTGTAGATAGACAACGTGGCAGCAAAGAATTCTAAAGCCAAAATGCAGGCAAGTTACCATTATGACCATGGTCTTCAATTCGTAAACAATTACAATGTTTCAAAACAACCTTTCTTGCCAACACTTGTAGTCATGCACCTATTTGTCAAGGCTTACATCTGGCGACGTATGCCATGGTTTTGTTGCTGTCGAATTCCTGCCGCCACCAACATCTATATAGTTACACCTTGTAACGAAGGTTTAAATGTATTAGCTTGAGCTGTGATTGCGCTATCACTGCTCACCCAAAGTTTTTACCGGGGTCATTAGTAGTATCGTTCTTACGCGGGTTTTCTCCTCCATCTCGCGAATCGCATTTCAACAAGGTTATCATTGACCCTCTTGAGCTGAAATGGCTCTGCTCTCTAAATTCAACATCACTAGGTGTCAACTCATCTGTATTCATGATACACAGATTTCTCTAGCATCCGTTATGTATATCCCTCGTTCTTTCGCACCACAAAAGTTAACTCCTTTTCATTTGATTATTTTCATTGAGACCAACTCTTGGAGCATCTGGTGCGAAGAGGCATCTGAAAGTAATTCTCGATATAATTTGCTGGTGTAGTTAAAAAAGGTTATAGAGGCACCGACTGCACTGAGATTGACAGCTCGGGCCCTCCTTTCTGAAAGAAACGATTGAGATTGCTCACGAAATGTTGACGCATACATAAATGTTTTTCTGGAACATGATCACATGTTCTCACTGGTAAGCGCCGGCCACTTCATCTCTCAATGACATGCTGTCACT